GTTGCATTCTCTTTGTTTGCTTGTCGCTTTCTTCCTTAAGCAAAGATCTAAGATAAAATAACAGGAATAGAGGTTTAAAAGGGATAAGTCCTTTTCGCATGAAATGATTATCGTTCTGACTCACAAAATAAATTTTTTACTTTTCATTTTCTTTTCTCTCCTTGGTTAATTTAGATCGTTCGTGCTTTTTCTGCTGTTCTGTTGCTGGCTCTTTCACTTGGTGCTTTTGATCACGCTGACGCCAGACCGTCGTTTTTCGCGGGTGGAAGTGGAAAGGTCAATTGTTCAACTATAGAGGCACAAATCCTTGCTCAAGCACCCGTAACTGTGACTGAGCCGAAGTCGTATACTGAGAGCGTCAGATCTCTTGTTGTATGCAACAGAATTATAACTTACCATACTTGTAGGCGAGCTAAAAGCTGTGGAAACCTAGCGGAGGTGAAGGCAATGTACGACTTTTCCGATTGTTTTCCAAAAAGAGTTATGGAGAACCCCGTATGCGGATTCCCCATAAGCTGTTGCTAAAAAGAAGTAGATCAAGTTGAAAAAAAAATGTCCAGAAGATACATTACAGATGTGACTTTAAATGCATGGATCTTAAACGTCTTGTTTACAAATATACACAACTTTAAACGTTGCTTTCTTGGCTTAGAAGGCACGTTTCCCGTAAGTTACTTTAGAAGAACTACAATAACTGGATTAAAAATACGTCAAAATAGCCCAGTAAAAATGTTTTTTGATTGTATCGATTGTATTGATGATCGTTATATGCAGACTTAAGATTCGATGATTTATCATAGCTTTGGCGTATGATCAATTGAGTCTTTTCCTTGCGTATTTCTAATAAAAAAATGAAAAAAGATAACTATACATGCACTGTTATGAAATGATCCAGAGTTTATTCCATTATCTTGGCATCTCTACGTTACTTTTCGATGATTTATCACAGCTTTGGCGTATGATCATTTACGTCTTTTCCTCCCCTATTTCTAATAAAAACATGAAAAAAGACAACTATACGTGCACCTCTGTTATGAAACGAGTAAGAATTTATTTCATTATCTTGGCATCTCTAAGTAACTTTTCAAAGGTAAATTGCATGTGGACGTGTCATTTTAATATGCCCCAATTCAAAGTAAGCTAAGTTAGGAGCTTCAACACATAAAGCATAACGACATAGAAAAAATGCAAGTCGTACTTAACCAGCGGTAGATAGATATTTGTATGAAACGAAATCATGCCGAAGAAAAATCAATAGTGAAAAAATGGTAGAGGAGATGGTCGCCTTGGAAAAAAAATAGGAAGCAGAGCAATTGACATGAGTGGAACCCTGAGATATAAATTCCACAAATATTAGCATCGATTATACTCGGAGACGTAAAGATGAAGAGCCACTGGACCTTAAAGTAAAAATAATGTACTACGGCAAACAGTTGAACAATTTATACTTTATTATTCTTCGGTTTCCTCTTTCTAAAACGTTGTCTTTGAAATTCTTCCTTTTAACTTAAGGTTTTTGGCACAGGCCCACCTCATTAAAGGTCTATAACACTTCCTAAACTGCATATATCCTTCTCCGTCATGAATGAGAGTGACATTAATTCAAACCAATTTATATTTTTCGAACAATTTATTAACATCAAAAAGGATTTATTGATTGTCCATCCACTTCTGATAGTTAAGTGATTTTAGTGGAATAGTATTCCTATTGTATTCCTTTCGAAACGGAACAGATGTAAATGTTGTATACATGCAGATTATTGTTCTCTCACTGTCCGTTGCAGACAATCGATTTAGTTGAAGGTTTATCCACAAAAATATGTTATTCTTTTATTATATGTTAAGGTAGTCTTAAGGTATATCCGAGAGTTCTGTTTGGTCAGGTTTTTGCCATACGGACCGTTTCCACGGAAACGGTCATAAACCGTGCGTTTTCTTTCTTGACAGTCGGCAAATTGAATGGGAAAAAGCTAAGGCTGAGTGCCATATAATAAACTACTAAATAAGCTCGCTTTCTCGAGCTGCACTAAGAAATATTGGCCCTCTGTCTGTACTGTCATGACCTCGAGCCGATATTCACAGTACGCTCCACCCGCTCGGTTTTAAGACGTTAATAATTACTAATTGATTTTCAAAAGTACCTACACTGTTTATGGTTGGGTTTTCTAATATTTTCCTCTTGCATGTTCTAGAGAATATAACCTATTTAACTCTTCACAATTTTAACTATCCGAAATGTATTGGAAGTATGAAATAAATCAATCTTTGACCTCATCAAATGCTTGATTAGCCATCAAGCAAAATTTATTTCTGTGCATTTGATTGTTGCATATCAACAAATTTGCATGAGGCAATTGTTTCATGATCTGTATGATTACAAGAAGATATATTTTTAGATGACCGACTTCCTGTCATGAAACGAAACAGTTGAAAAAAATTAATTAAGAGAACAGATGAAATAAATGGCGTCACATAACCTGGTTTAGAGGTGGGGAGAGGAGGTTGAGTCGTTGGAAGTATCTGAGCATCCTGACCTTCCAAAATGTTTTCCTACTTAATACTTGACAATTATCTTGTAAAGGTATAGATTTACCTGTTGAATGATACATAGGAGAGAATCTTCAGTAAATGCATAAGTCACCAACAATAAATTATAACTTTGAACACTCGTTTTTCCACTGACGGGCTTAAAACAAAAAATAGATATGAGGATCAATTGAGGGAGTTTTTCCTAGATTTCCTGTCATTTCGAAATCAGTGTGAATTTCAAAATAACACCTTTCTTAAATAAAAATTTTGTATATATAATTCTAAATTCAGTTTTTACAAAAGATCGTGCACAGAGTTATAACAACTTGCATCCATTCCGTTCGCACGTTCAAGCAACCGTCGCAGACAAGTTATTTCTTTTCCTTTGTCGTTAATGAAGCTAATACGAATAACTGCTCCAATACCTTAGGCACAATTATCATGCTCTTGGTGGCAATTAAAATGTTTTCAGATCCCTATCTGTTGTACTCCGCTGATTTCCGTGCACCACAATTGTATTAATTTTTCCGGTCCTCAACTCGAAAATAGTCATCTATTGTAATTCTACAGTTTCTCAACTAGATTCTTCAGGCTACGACATTAAATAAGTGCTTCAAAGCCACATCAATACGCTAACAAATATAATGACCTGGATCTTATTTGAGGTCTTCAGTGAACGCTTACTTAAGCTTTTCGTGTGTGTGTTTACGCTCAAGTACTCATAGTTATGCGCACTATCGGTTTCATCCCAAAATATACCTAATCAGTGATGTTCAAACTGCCTGGACTGGCCACGACGAGCAGATCAACGCCTAAAAGAAATGAGAAATTGTTCGGCTAATAAAATGACTGTCTTTTGCACAAAATTAGTTTTTTCAAGGCTGATGCCAATAAGACATGCAGAGGAAAATTTCGAAGTTCATTTGAAGTAAACTACGATGACATAAAGAAAAGAACACTTTGCCCACTCGTGCAGTAGTTCCGTTACGAAAATGTTTATCAAGACATACTTCTTCCTTTAAAACTGATTTTTCCACCCTCTGAAACAAACCCAAAGGATACTGAAAAAAAGAAATTTCATCAGTCGCGAGGCGATGAAACATAACGGTTTCAATCTTCTCCTGGCCGAAAAAATTTAGATATTTTTAGTTTATGGAAGATATATAAGAGCTAATGATGAAAAGGTTATTCATCAGTGGCTAAAGAAAGATTCAAAGATACCTGTGTTTAAGAAAAAGCAAAAGAGTGGCAGAAAAAAAATAAAATGGTCAACAACTCAAAACAGGTGCAATTATCATCTTTTTTTCTTTTTTCTTTTTAACTCAAGGCTATTTTTCAAGTTTATTGAGCTACTTAGCTGAGAATATGTGATCAAATTGAGATGGACAATAATTATCTAACATTTGCGTTGATCTTTGGAAATATATGGCTGATGCAAGGACATCTGTCGAGTATTAATAGTTCAAATAGTCCTAACAATGCAAATAACATTTGTAATATCCATCAAATGTAAGTGTGGACAAAGTAATTTTAGTATTTACTCCATATCTTCAAGGATCGTCCTAAGACTATTTTCTTCTTGCTCTCTTTTTTTCTCCAAGCATTATGGGGTGAAATTTACCAAGCGATTTATAGACTTAGTTTCGTTAGAGATGAAAACTGCAACTGACTTCAAAGAAAATAA